AAAAGAAAAGATGAATAGAGTGGCGTTTGCTTGTTGTCTTTTCTATAACTTACAAAGCTAAAGGAGTAGGGGATTACAGATAGTAGAGATAGAAATGGAAAGAATGTTCATGACATTGATAGCTGACTTATTTATTGAGCCCTTACCTATAGTTTAAACAAAATTCTAAGCATGTTTCATGAGTTACCTCATTTTTATTTCTCACAGCAGCCCTAGGAAGTAGAAACAGAATTTAAGAAATTAAACAGCTTTCAGAAGTAAATATTAAGATGGCTGAGACAGGACTTGACCCCCATGCCTGTTTTGCTCTAGAGGTTGCCATTTATCATTGTTGGGGGGGAGATTGTTGCTTGTTTGCTTGCTTGAATGAACCCAGGGGTGCTTAATCTCTGAGCCATATCCCCACCCCTTTTTTTACATTTTATTTAGAGAAAAGTTCTTACTAAGTTGCATAGAGCATCTCTAAGCTGCTGAGGCTGGCTTTGAACTTGCAATCCTCCTGCCTCAGCCTCCCAAACCACTGGGACTACAGGCATATGCCACAGTACCTGGCAAATGCTGCTGTTTTGATTCATATATTCATTGTGTAATGAAAAAAATCAGGTTAACTACCATATGCATCACCTTAAACTTACCATTTCTTCTGTAGTAAAAGCTTCATAGAATTGCTGCCCTTCAACATAGTTTTATAAACTCTCTGATTTATAATATTAACCAGAATCTCCCTTGAGGGTAGTGATAGATAAGCCAGCCGTCAGAACATACTGCCGAAAACATCTTGTTCTGTTGCAATTACATTTTATCCTTTAAAACTATTTTGCTCTCAATTTTTAAGAATTCTCCTTGGCATCTATATCTTAAGTGGCTGTCTACATTTTACTTGCTTGTTTTTCTTCTCTCCAAAATAAATAAATAAATAACAAAATAGAAGAAGAAAGAACACAGAAGAAAAAAACGACATAATCAAATTCAATTTTCAAGGCCAAACTGAAGTATTATGTTTTACATTTTATTTCCTTACCTGCAGGTAAGACTGGGGTCCTTATTGTTGACATTGATGAGGAAAATCTTTAGATTTCTAGTGGTAGAGAGTCCTCCAGCATCAACCACTTTAATAACGAGTGAAAAACTAAAGACACAGTCACAAGAAACACAGCTGAGATTTTATAGTAACAAACAGACTTTTCTCAGAAATAGAATCTACTGTGTTTAACGGACTGGCTGTAACCATTGATTTTATCTAGTTAAAATGTTGGTCAAACCATTTATTTTAGTGATTGGAAATGGCTCATGCTTTTGTTAAGAAACAAACTAGTCAAATCGGTTAAAGGAGCAGATGTAAATTTAGAAAATTTTGGCAGGGGAAAACCAGGAATTGGTGAACCCAGAGGTTGCTTTACCACCGAGCCACATCCCCAGGTACTCCCTACCCACTTTTTTTTTCAATTGTTTCTTTTGAGCAGGGTCTCATGAAGTCACTTAGGGCCTTGCTAAGTTGCTAAGGCTGGTTTTGAACTCTTAATCCCCCTGCCTTAGCCTCTTGAGCTACTGGGATTACAGGCTTGAGCCGTAGTTAAAAAAAAAAAATGGAATTACTTAGCATATGGCTATTGGCTATGGTTGCTTCAAATGTTGTTTTTTTTAATATGGGAAACTGACAGAGGCAAGGAGAAGATGTTATGAACATTTTAAAACAATTTAATAACTGGGAGATATTAGGATGATAAGATAAATAATAGATTTTAGGTAGAGATGCATACAGGTTTGAGAAATGAGAGTAGTGAAATAAGGAAAATTATTATTTCCTCATATCCATAGACTGATCTCTCATGATTTAGTCTCCCAATTTGCCCTGCACCATCCAGGATTTACCAACAAAAGTCCCACATCCCAGGAAATTCCTCAGGTTCTGGGCTAATGGAGAGAGTTGGTTAGAGTTAGTTACCTTCTGGGGGGGGGGGAATCTGTATTAATCTGAAATCTACTCATATTTGAAATCAAAATGGCTAGTTGTTCTTCTGTTTATAGTAAAAAATAAATAAATAAAACATTTTAAAAATTAAAAAACAGTTCTCTGTTTCCTCTTCCTAATTTTTCCTACAAGAAGTTGATAGATTTGAGGCAACTCTTGGCAAAACCCACCAAACGGATCCGCTTTTAAGAGTTAAAGACATTTTAGCTGGGTATGGTGGTACAGGCCTGTAATCCCCACGGCTCAGGAGGCTGAGGCAGAAGGTTTTCTCGAGTTCAGAAGCAGCCTTAGCAACTTAACAAGGTCCTAAGCAGCTCAGTGAGACCCTGTCTCTAAATAAAATATAAAAAAGGAATCAATGGAAGTGTAACTGATGTGATTCTGCAATCTGTATATGGGGTAAAAATGGGAGTTCATAACCCACTTGAATCAAAGTGTGAAATATGATATGTCAAGAACTATGTAATGTTTTGAAC